GACTGGATTTTTTCCGGAGTACGGAATGGAGGAAAACCCGGACTGGATTTTTTCCAGAATACGGAATGGGGAAAAACCCAGACTGGGTTTTTTCCAGAATATGGAATGGGGGAAAACCCGGACTGGATTTTTCTGGAGTATGGAATGAGAAGAAACCCAGATTGGGTTTCAAAAAAAAAAAAAACAAAACCAAAAACAACCAAGGGTTGGACTTGATGATCTCAGAGGTCCTTTCCAACCCAGCTGATTCTATGATCACAGAGATTAAAATGGAGTTCAGTATTTTATGGAAAAAAAATCAATTCAATAAACTATATAAGAAATTAGGTCTCTCTTAATGCTCTTAAAAAAGTCTATGTTGTTGACTACCTTGACTTGAAAAAAATCTCTTAATTTAACTCTGTTGTTCACTGCTACTTCTTGACAATGATAGTAAGGATCTTCTATCGGAAAAAAAAGACAATTTCCCTCTGCTTTGTTAGATTGTATATGAACTGCATTTGCAACATTTGATACTCTGGTCACCAGAGGAAACAACCCTTCTTTCTGCCACACAGCACTGAAGTGGAGATATAAAGGAACAAACGCAGAAGTAAGACAGGACTTTTGTCTGACTGAAGTGGTGGAGGGCTTACCCAGCAAGGGAAGACCCAATCTGCTGCCCAGACTGGTAACTGCAAGGTTAATTTGACAAAGGAGCAAATTGCAGTCTTGATACCGCACCTGCAGTGTGCTCTAACTGCAGTGTTATTCCAAACACTGGCAACCTGGAGACCTCGCCAAGAAGGCTAAAATCTATTCTCACTTTAGAGAGCATTATCTACTCTTAGAAACTTACACAAAGTCCAGTGGAGGCCTGAATCGACAGGTTATGTACCTTAAACCCACAGAGGCTGCACTTGAAGGAGGACAGACCCTGTCCAGTAACATGTGGCTCAAGGAGTCCTGGAACTGACCAGTGGGTAGTGCCTCCACAAGGCAGCTGGGATGACTTACCGAGAGGAAAGCGTGGACTATATCAGCCTTAATGGAGCTTAGTGGTTTGTCCTTAATGACCACAAAAATCTGTTCTTCTTTCTCCAAGTTGATGAAGTTACCAAACCAGGATTTTTTGGCAAGCCTAATATGATGAAAAGAAAGAGATGGTTTAGAGTACTGAGCACTATTTCTTATTTCTTACACACCCCTAGCTGGAAAAAGAATTAAAAAACACACAAGAAAGTTTTGATAACACTCCAGATTTGATGTTATTGCTAATGGCAAGTGGAAAATAGTGTCAGAGAACATCCAGAACAACATTTCACTTAGTGAAAACTGGTAAAATGACAGACCACACAGTCTTAGTGCGGCAGCATGTGTCACCAACAATGAAAAATCAGGAGCAACATTAACTCTCTTGACTGAGCCAATACACTGATTAATACTGCATATTTAAAGCCCATATAAGTCAGGAGACACATTCCTGGTTTGTCTCCAGGGAACTATTCATTTCATGTGACAATATGCAGATCCTGGCAACACACAGATTTAAGTTCCTTCCCACTCAGTTTCAACTCCTTTGGTGTTACAGGACTTAAAAAGTTCTTTTTCTAAAGGTGTCCTGTTGGGCTGATACCACAATCACAAGATTTTGCTTTTTAAAGCAAGCTGTAGATTTCACCAGACCTCCAATCTGCCAGCGAGTGAAGTCCACTCCTACACAGAGGGCCAGGACAAGGACTGTCCCATTCATTAGTTCCATTCAGGGTGTCTACATAATGAGTGAACTCTGGTCATCCTACAAAGGAATGGAATTTCAGTACTAAGAAAGAAGATGCCAACACCATGCAAAACACAGCTCAGGGTTTCCACTGACAGCAGTCCAGCTTCACAGTTTCTTTCAGCATCAAGTAGTGGTTTCACCATA